AGCTTATGGAAATGTCAACCCTCCGTCTAGAAATAGGCGTGAGAGAAGAGCTAAGCAGGCAAGAAATCGAGCCGAGTTGTCTCAACCACCTTAGGAAGCCCAAGTTAGGGAAGGTGTGACTTCGACGAACCGCAAAGGTCCTGCGACCTTGACGATGATGACGATGACGACAATATATCATTTTTATAGAAAATTAGGAGTGCGCCAGTCCTAAACCACTTTACACTACCCAAAATACCCAAGTGTGGTGTAAGAGAAGATCCTATAAAGTACCTCAATGGTTTCAAACCCCACATGGGACTGAGGGTAACAACACCTGCCATGAAGTGACGAGCTTTCTATCTGACCCTTAGTAGAGCAATAGAAGTCTGATATACCAAACTCCAGGCAGGAAGCATTCGAAGCTGGCCTGATTTTAAAAAAGCTTTTCTCAAGCGTTTCACCACTAGTAAGGAGGGTGAGGGATTGGTACAGCACCTCCAAGACATGAGGCAACAATCAGAGAAGTCGTTGAAAAATTTCTTAACCCGCTTCACAGATGAAATGACTTATTGCGTGCAAGTCACGGACAGGGAAGCGTTAACTACCCTAAAGGGAGGGATGAACATGAATTCACTTTTCTGGAGAGATGTACAAAACAAAGATCCTCCAAGTTACGATGCCTTGTTGGAAATGATAAGGTGAGAGATCATCAGTGAGGAATTGAGAGACCATCGTAATAGGGCAAATCGAGGCTTCCCACCTTCCCAAATGCAAAGAGTGAGAGCTCTCATATCTTACTTGATAGATCAATAGACCGAATAATCAACTTTTCTTAATCTGGGACAAACATTAGCTACAACAACACTCAATGCAGTCCCAACTTTGGCGTACGAAGAAGTAAACCCCAATATCGAGGTGTATCCGAGAAGACCAGGCTAGCAATCAGCTCGCGGAGGAAAAGGTAAGGAATGAGGCGTGAGACCTAGAAATAGAAATGAAGCATCTCCTTATTGCACATACCACCATTCCTATAGTCACAGCACGACTAATACTAGGACCTAGCAAAATACCCAAACAATTAGAGGAGAAATGATCGTTCTCGAAGGGGTGAGACTCCTCGATAGGGTTGGCAACATGGGAATGAAGGCACCAGTAACCAAAGTAGGGATGACACACAAGGGCGTGGAAGAGATCATGGAAGTCTTGAAGAAGGTCGAAGGCATCGAAAGAGCCCCTCACCAAACACTAGACGTGATCCCATTCAAAAAATTGATACAATATTTGGGGGTCCGTACGTCGAGGACGAAACTAGAAATGCCCAAAGAAATTATGTAAGAGAAGCCAAAGATCCCCCAATGGCAAGCTCATAGTTAGCAATAGCCTAGCTTCCAATTAAATGAGAGTTCAACCTATCACGTTCACCCAAGATATGCTGCGGGGTATATTATCTCCCCTGTGATGCTCTGGTTGTGAGGATAGTAGTAACTAGAAAATGGCCTCTAGAGAATGCTGATAGACAATGGGAACTCGTTCAACATCATATATGGAGCTACTTTTGACAAAATGGAAGTTAACCATGAGTTGAACCTACTGACCTCACTCTTATACGGAATTACGGGTAACAACATCATCCCGCGAGGCAAAATCACTCTAGCGACAAAGATGGGAGTGGCACCTTTGATGGCTCACTACTTCACGAAATTTCTGATGGTGGATCATCGTCCCGCTTATCATGCTGTGCTTGGAAGGCCCACTTTGAAGGAATTATGGGCAATCACTTCCATCCACCACTTGTGCATGAAATTTCCAACAAAGAATGGCGTCGCCACGATCAGGGGTAACCAACGAGGTGCTAGGGAATGCTACTCCAATTCCATTCAAAAAGTTAAGCCAAGAGGCATGAATGTCATATTGATGGACATTGATAAGATTGATGACCCTGAATAAAGGGACGACATTAAAATAATAGATGCCTCTACAGAAGAGGTTGCTATGGAAGTATAGTCAACCTCTAAAGAAGGGAGAGCAACTGAAAAAGCTGCTAGTCTTGGTGAGCTGGACCCTTGTATAATTAATTGCGAACCTCAAACAACTCTGGTTGAAGAGCTGAAGAGCTTTTTAGTAGACTCTCATGATCCGCCCAAGTCCTGGCAAGTTGGCAAAAACCTGCCACCAATATTAAAGGAGAAGCTAAAAAGCTTCCTGCGTAGCAACTTAGATATTTTTGCTTGGAAACATGAAGATATAGTTGGCATCAATCCAAAAGTCTGCTGCCACCATTTGAAGATCAATCCAAAGGCTAATCTTCACAGGCAAAAAAAGAGGGCCTTAAACCCTGAAAGATACGAGGCCTTGAAAGATGAGGTAAAGAAGCTAATTGTAAACCGCTTAATTCGGGAATCAACCTATCCGAAGTGGGGGACAAACCCAGTGCTAGTCAAGAAATATAATGGAAAGTGGAGGGTGTGTATGGACTTCTCCAACTTAAATCAAGCATGTCCTAAGGACAGTTTCCCACTCTCCTGGATAGACCGACTGGTTGACTCCACGATAGGACATGAACCGTTAAGCATCATGGATGCATGTTCAGGATATAATTAAATTCCAATGTATCCAGCAGATGAGGAACATACATCATTCACTACTAACCTAGGCTTGTATTGTTATTAAGTGATATCCTTCAGATTAGAAAATGCCAGGGCCACTTATTAGAGATTGGTCAATAAGATGTTTGCTAAACTTATTAGAAACACAGTGGAGGTGTACGTGAATGACATGCTTGTTAAGAGTTTGCAAGCAGATGACCACATCCGGCACCTCGATGAGGTCTTCCAAACATTTCAAAGATACAAAATACAATTAAACCCTCTCAAATGTGCCTTTGGGATAGCATCGGGAAAATTTTTGGGCTACATGGTAAACCAGAGAGGCATTGAGGCTAATCTAGATAAGATCAAAACTTTAATTGAGATAAGGTCATCATAGAAACCCAAGAAAGTGCAAAGCCTCACTGGTCGTGTAGCCATGCTAAGCTGTTTTGTTTCAAACGTAAAGGATAAATGCCTCCCATTTTTCAAAATCCTAAAAGGTGGGAACAGATTCCAATGTAGAGAAATGCAAAGAATACAAGTGCTGAAGAGGCACTTAGGACAAGCTCCTCTCCTCTCGAAGCCCAAAGTTGGAGAACCTCTACTGTTATAGCTGGCTGTAACTACCGAGGCTGTCAGTTTAGTGCTTATAAGGAAAAAAAAAAAAAGGTCATCAGCTGTTAGTGTACTATATAAGCAAAGCTTTGTTGGCGACAGAAACCCATTACCCTGATATGGAGAAGTTAGCTTTAGTCCTCATCACGACCTCTTGCAAACTGAGGCCCTACTTTCAAGTACACTCCATACATGTACTAACTAACTTCCCATTGAAGTAAGGGCTTTAGAAGCCTAAAGCTTCTGAGAGATTGTTAAAATGGGTCACATAGCTCAGTGAGTATGATATCACTTTCAAGATAAGGGCATCCGTCAAAGGACAAGCATTGGCAGATTTTGGCAAAATTTACTCCCATTCCAGAAATGGAAGAGGAGATGGAACCCGCTGACCCTCCCACTTGGAATCTTTTTGTTGATGGCTCTTCGGGATATGTCGAATTTGGGGCAGGAATAGTATTGGTCTGCCCGGAAAGGCACAAGCTCAATTGTACTGTAAGATTCGAGTTCAAGGCAACAAACAATGTGGCCGAATATGAAGCCCTCTTAGCCGACCTTCGATTGGCCAAAAAGATGCAGGTTCAAAGGCTACTCATTAGCTGCAATTCTCAGTTGGTCGTTAGCCAAGTTAATAGCAATTTTTCATCCAAAGATAAGAGCATGACCACATATCTGAAGTTGGTCATGAGGTTTAACCCAACTTTTAAAAGGTTTGAACTGATACAAATCCCACGTTGTGAAAACTCCCATGCCGACGCCCTTTCGAAATTGGCAAACAGTAGAGATTCCGAGTTACTCACTGTGGTCCCCATAGAGGTGATGTGGGTAGAAGAGGCCACGTGGAGGTGCCACGTTCGCGCACATGGCATACAATAAAGAAGAGAGCAATAATTGCATTCTGGCCAAAGCACTACTTCTGCCCAAGCTCCACAGTCGAAGTGCTCACCCCTTCAATCGAACTCCTTCACACTTGAGGCTCTCCACAGTAGGTCTGATAAGTGTATATTTAGGAATGGCTGATGTGACATCCGTATTAAATAGATGTCAGGTATGTCAACCTAGGTGTGTAGGACAGCTGAACCCTTTTCATATGTACTTGTCAATGTAATTAATGTGAGATAAAATGACATAACACTTTGATCAAGCAGATGGAGCAACGTGGGTATGATCCAACAGTGATTTCATCGACTTGGATACTATAAATAACAGCTTTTGTAACATTGAAAAATGATGGACAAATATATATATGCAAGTATATATTATTCTCTCATGAATGTTCAATAAATTGAATCATCTTTTTATTTCATAAATTCCCATCGACCGTGAACGTCCTACCCATATATATATATATATATATATATGTTGAATGTCCGTTCAAGATCTCCCAGAATTTGTCTATGTGAGCTTCGTCTAGGAATGACACTTGTTGGCATCTATTGGCACGTTTTTAGAGGTCAACAACCAGCATAAACAATTTTGATGGTACTGACTACATCATGACTCTATTTGATGCATAAAAAAGTTTCTAGTTCATGGGTAAAAGCAAGTCGGGTTATAGATTTCAAAAGATGGTAAATGCACATACAAGTGATTTTCTTAGAGGATGCAAAAGCTAGTGAAGCCACATTCATCACAAGGAAGAGGAAGAAGATTACTAGAACAGAAAGCCATAACTGTAGTCTCACTTCAGTAGTAGCATTTACTTGCTAAAGCACAACTCCACAAAAATGGCATCTCAAGAAAAGGAAAACAAGATATGTTGCAAATTTATCTTCCTTTTCTTCCCCTCCACCAAGGCTTAGGCAACAGTCTTAACTACATCCAAATAAATTGAAGCAATTAAACAGATCAATATACAATTAAGCAGGTCCAATATCATTACAGTGCCACCAGCATCAAGCAAAAAATAAAATAAAATAAAAAACAGGAACAAAAAAATAAAAAACAGGAACAAAAAAAGGCCTTATCAAAAGAGAAACGCATAAATGAGAACTACCTTGGCCATTGACTCCTATCATTATAACGTCACATATTTTCAAGTAAAACTATGAACACTACTACGACTGCATGACTTTATTTTGTTTAACGCAACCAGGCGTCTTGAACGCTTGGCACTTCCACATGGAAGTCCTCTCAACAGGCATCAAACTACCACCAGAAGACCCTACAGTAAATGGTGGCTTATTGCCTGCCGCAGCTTTGCGTGCATTTTCTTGTGTCTCTAAGATGGGTTTAGATTTCAGATCCACTTTGAGGCTTGTTTGATCTCTGAAACTACAAATGCTCAAGGGCAACTTTTTTTGCTTAATCCTTCCTCTTTTTTTACCAAAACTATCCAATGATTCCAAAAAATTCTCCTTTGAGTTAAGTGTTCCAGTTACCTCATTTTCCAACTTCAGTCGCTCAGCTTTATCATATTTATATTGTGATCCTTCTCCATTTTCCAACTTTGGTTGGTCATCATTGTTGAATTTTGATGTATTCAGATCTACCATAATCTTGTCTACCTCCTTTACTAGACCTTCAGTGTGTATTTTTCCTACTGACCCATTCCCATTGCTCATGGAAGATTGATTCCTTTCACAGGCTGAACCTCCACTGTCAACACAAGTTCTTTCAGAAGCAGAGCTCTTTAACCTCTTATGTTTATGATTCTTCAAATCAGAAGATGGGAAGTTCTTGGAGATTCTTGGGGAGCTGTTGATTGCACTGTGCAACTTCCGAGCTAATTCTTCATCTTTTTTGCAACTTGAAATTCCTCTGTGCTTATTGTACAATGTTTGAACAGGGACATGCTTCTTCATCTTGTTCTTTTTCAGATATTTTTCTTTGTTAGCACTCTCATCTGAAAGAGAAGCAACAAGTTCCAAAGCACTCTTGGCAGCAGCCACTGCCTTTGCTGCTTTAGCAGCCTTCTCTTCAGCAATAGCTCTTGCAGCCTCTGCAGCCTTTGTTGCTTTTATAGCAGCCAATCTGGAGGCTTCAACAAGCTCCTCATTGGAAAGATTAGGGTTATCCATGTTGGATCGCAATACATTATTAAGGCGATCATCATATACATTCCGAGCATTACAAGAAGCGGATGGGGTGTGGCAGTTAAGATCAGAATTCCGTCTCTTCAATCCTGCCAGAAGCCGCTTTCGAGGTGGCAAAAGGGCATCAGCATCGAAGTGACTGATATCACATGCATTTGCCTCATTGCTTTCTACGTCTATATGCATACCAATCGATTCAAAAACCTTCACACTACAAACAACAATGAAATTTAGACCTTTAGCACACTATTCTCAGCTATAGCAACCCCAGATCCATATTAAGCAAAAAATTCCCAAGACCCGATTTTGCATAATTTGACCTAAAGCAATTATAAATTCAATCATCCCATGAATTTGAATCTAAAATTAGAAGCCATTCAAAATTCAATTCAAACCCATAAGAAGCATACCAATAAAAAACCCCTAAAAAGGGAATAAGCACTCAACAATAGACACATTTTCCAACTTGAAGCACAGATAAAAAAACAATTACGATCACAATTAACCATAATCAAATCCTGGTTTAAAACAATTATGCAAAGCTAATTGTGCATAGATACATAGTACAGTTAAATTAAGCTGAAATTGAGATGTTCAAATACCCGATCTTTCCAAGTTTGAAAGAGGAGAGGAAAGTTGATTTTAGGGTTTTCTAATAAGAGAATATATATGAGAGGAAATCGTTTGTTTTAAAAACCAAAACCGGTGTTAAAAAAGAAAGAAAGAAAGAAGGAATTTCGATTGGCTCCAATTCAAACACCCAAATCCCCTAAACACATTACTTCTAAAAGTAAGGTCATGTTTGGTGGAGATTAATACTAATTTTATACGGATCAAATATGTGATTAAAAAATGAATAATTTCATAGGTACAAGAAATTATTGACAAAAATGATACAGGTGCTCTATTCGTAGCATCTGTATAGTGCAATTTCTGTGTTTGTTGTGTCAAAAATCAATGAAAATCTGTCAAATGTTTCTTTGTAAAAATTCTGTCAATTTTTCTATACTAGTGCAATTGTGAATTTCATGGAATATTTGATTAAAATTAATTATTGAATTTAATTTAATTTTAATTTTAATTCCTACCGAATAAGAGCTAACTACGTAATAATGTACAAATAACATTACTTATATTACGTGTATGCCATTTTGATGGCAATTTTAACATTACTCTACATTATCTCTTTCTTATCCACATTTATCAATCCTCATCTTTTTGGACATATAACCAAAACAAAATGGCATGAAAAATTATAGCACTCAACTAGCAACTATCACGATCAATCTCTGTATTCCCATAGTGTGACGTGCTCACGAATGGTAAAAAATAAATAAATAAATAAATAAATAAAATTCCATGTTTGGGCTTTATTTTTTAAAATTTATTTTCAAACATAAAATAATTTCACACAAATTCAAAAAAATTTCTTATTTAAACCACGCATTCTACGAAAGTGAGGATCCAGTAGAGAAATTTGATTTAAATAAAAATTAATTTTTTAATAGATTTCTATAAAATTAATAAATGTGTAGTTGAAGAATTAATAAAAATTATGGATCTCATAAACAATTGAAAATGAGTTATAAAAAAATAAATTTTAGAAATAAGTACCCAAGACAAAGGATATTTATAATAGTGATTGATTAATAATTATTTTTTTCAAGAAATAGTAGTATAGTATTTCAGATGTAAAAGTACACGTGAAATTGTTCATTAATTAAGAAGTGATTTTGATATTATTGTATCGTTGTTCTTTTGTTTTTAAATATTTCTTCATTTTCAACTTTTCTTGTATCAATTCTTTCAATTAGTTAGTTTTATTTCTAATTTTTTTTTATAAAATTCGTTATTAATTACATTGAATTCATGAACCCTGATGAGGACGTTAATCAAATTTTCAGTAGTTCTAAAGCTCCAATCTATAATTTTTCTCAAGCTTGTAATTATCCAAATATAGAAAATGTTGAAAACATCGAACTGAGAAATCATTGAACTCAGAAAAAAGCAATCTCTACAACAAGACGAAGGAACAAAAAAAAAAAAAATGTGACTGTTGGAAACAATTCATGAAAAAGAAGAGAGTAGAGAGGAAGGAGAAGATTATGAAAGCATATTGTAATTATTGAGATAATAACTTCATTTGAAAATAAAAATAAAAATGACGCTAACCATTATGACAAGCATTAGGTAAAAATAACTTGTTTGTATTGGGGCTATCCATAGTAGGGAATGCTTAACTTGAATTTGATTCAAGCGAAGATGGACCTATCAGAGCAGTTTTGCAAACTGAGCTTATACTTTAGAATTAATGCAGGGAGGTATAGTGATGTTCATAGTCGACACTGAGTTGTTGCTATCCATAGTAAAATCATGCAGTCGACGAAATTCGTACAAACACAATCAAGGTACAAACCGATCAGTAGAATATTATCGATGATTTAAGAAATCATAGTGATGTCATTTTATTTACACATGATCCATGGTATAGGAAAACCATGAATGATATATTCGTGCTACAACCCATTATATTGATAAGTTTTGGATCGTACATAAAAATAATTGAATTTAAAGGTCATTGAATTTTCATAGCACAAAATATTTTCAATGTTTTGATGGGTGTACTAAAGTCTGTAGTTTACTTTTGACAATACTGATGTTAACGCTAAAATCAATTAAAAAATTGATTAACCAACTCCATCTAGATTTTGACGCAAAGTATTTTCAAGTGCGTATTTGTTATATTTTTAATTTGATTGTACAAGATGACCTTAAATGTATTGTACCATAGTTGACAAAAATTAGACCAAGTATTGATTTTATTTATGTCATTTTATCTCATACGCAAAAATTATTGTGTGTGTGCAGATTCAAACTTACCGTACATCCATAACATCTAAGTAGTCAAACATCCATAACAGCTAAGTAGTCAATCTTTGTAATAGCTATTACACAATAAAAATACGAGTCAAACATAAAAGTCAAAGCAAAAATAAAAAATCAAACCTGAGCATCTTCTATTAGAATTCCGAGTTCATCATCTTTGGTGCAGAGAACACGTTTGCTCCCACACTGACCCATTCAATATGGATGGCGTAAAACGTGCATGTATGCTTCTAATGGAATCTCGAATTGTAAAATTTATTTGAATTCATCAAAATGAGGTTGAATCACTTGCCTTTTATTTGCTTATCTTCTATACTGCCTTGTACTCATTCCTTGGTCGGAAATTCGATCACAGATGAATGAATTTGATAGTCATAATCCAAGAATCAATTTAGAGATAATATACTTCCAAAATCAAGTTACCACTCTCATGTATTTTTCTCTCTATGTTACCATATATACGAATTTTGTATGCATTCATATCATATTCTTTGTTGTGGAGGTTGTATAAGAGAGTTATAGGTTATGGGAAGTTGAGTTTCAAATTCAATTTTCTCAACTTCCTCGACTTCTCCCTCTAATAATACTCTCGTGCAATTCTGGTCGGATTAGCCTACATGGCCGACCCGTTTTCTTTCAATATATGTAAATGCTTAATTCAATAGTAAAGGCGAAGTTTTATTTGATATTACCATATCGTTCTCCTAGTAGCACCAATCCATCCCTCGTAATACCGGATCCTACAATTATATAGATTCAAGTAGGCATGTCAAAAGGGCCGAGCCACTCGTCGGCTCGATCGCTCAGCTCATCGAAATAGGGCTCGTGGACAGTTCGGGCTCGTAAAATCACAAGCCCGAGCGTGAGCCGACTCGTTGAAACGTGGCTCGTGGCTGGTTATATAATAGTGACCAAAACGATCACTTTTTTAGGGAACGGTCACTGAAATTTATTTATTTTTTTCTCTTCTACTATAAATACTCCTTAATTCCCCCTTTTTGTTTTCATATCAATTACTCAATCACTACTTCAACTCTCTCAAGTCTCAACTTTCTTATTGAGTTTTTACTCTCTTGTGCTGCAAAATATACAATATCGATTCAATTTTTACAGTTTATTAATTACAAATTCAATTCATTCAATTCTCAATTCTCACAATCTCACTACATTTATATTTTTCTAGTTATTATATTTGGATTTCATCATAACCAATCAAACAAATGGACCAACGCTCATTTGTTGAGAGCTTATTCGATAGGGAATGTGGGCCACATCATGGCAAATCGCCTAGGACGCTGCAAAGTCAATTTCCAAATGAATTTTCTGGTCTAAATGACATACTCATACCTGAAGATGTTCACATTCACGGTCAAGAAAGCCAAAATCCAATTGATTTGGATGATATTAATGTTCCCGAAGCGGAACATGAGAACAAAGATGCCGAATTAAACATCTCAGATGCAAGGGGAAAGCGAAAGGGCAAAAAACAAGCAAAATGTTGGGATCACTTTAAGTTGATTTCAACGGGAAAAGTCGTCGATGGCCTTGCAGATCTAAAGCAGTATATAAATATTGTCAACAAAGATTGACATAGTAAAAAGGAATTGGTATCACTCATCTCAACCGCAACTACAAAGCATGTGCGGCCAGACATAGACTTCTTCCAGCTGGTCAAATACAATTGTAATTTGGCAGTCCAGACGTCGGTTCCACGACTTCACCCCTATCCACGTGGGTGTATTCGGAGGACAATACTCGAATCGGAATGGTGAAATTTGTTGCTGCCACTAAGTTGCCTCTGGTTATTGCAGACAACCAACATTTCGTCTCGTTCGTGAAAGAATATCTACAACCAAGGTACGTTGGGGTAAGTCGAAACACTCTTCGTGCCGATACAATACAATATTTCAATAATTCAAAACAACAATTAATTATAGATTTGCAACAATATGGAGGTGTTATATCTTTAATTTCTGATTTATGAGAAGGAGTTAATAAAAGAGCATATATAGCTGCAACCGCACACTATATAAATCCACTTTGGTGCATGCATAAGAAAGTTATTGCTTTTAAAATTATTGAGTTTCCTCACAATACTAATAATATATATAATACTATTATCAGTATTTTTAGATAATATAATTGCGAGACTAAAATTCGATCTTTTACTTTTGATAATGCTAGTGTTAATAAGGTAGTCGTCAATAAATTCTGTTGGATACTTCAACCTGATTTTGATGGGTATTTGTTTCATATTCGTTGTGTGTGTCATCTATTGAATTTAATTGTGCAAGATGTCTTAAAACATATAAAGGATGAATTTCAAAGAATTAGGAATGCATTAGTATATATTACGATCTTTCCTATTAGAAAACAAGCATTTGAAATTTTTTGTGCCAAACTAGAGGTGACGACTGCTAAAACATTTGTCAGCGACGTAGGTCATAGATGGAACTCTATTTACTTGTTATTAAAGTCATGTGAAGGTTTTGAAAATTTAATAATTGACTTTTAAAACAATAGACACGTTAGAAGTGATGACGATGGTTTGTTAAATGAATCCGATTGGATTTTAGATTTGAAAGTTAAACGATTTTTGACATCTTTTTATGGGACCACAAAGATTTTATCCGATGTTTATTATCCCACAAGTTGTATGGTGCTTGAACGCTTTTATATAATTGCAAGAACATTCCATAAATATAAAAATGATCCTGCTTTTAGTAAAATTATAATTGCTATGGAATTATAAAAATGTGCAATGGACCCTTAATATAATATTTCAGGAACTAAATACGTAATTGATCAAATCAATAAAATTTTAATACTTGATACA